GACTTTCAATGGCTTGTTTCATCTTTTTCCCTGTGTGCCACCACGCCTGATTTCAGGGGTGCTCAGACTGCCAAGATATCTCCCTAGTATTTTTTTTTTTTTTTTTTTTTTATTTTTTTTTTTTTTTTTTTGTGGAAACAGGGATTGAACTCAGGCCCTTGCACTTACCAGGGAAGCGCTTATTCCACTGAGCCATCTTCCCGACCCCCTCCCTAGTATTTTTGTTTTCATCTTCCTAACAACTTTTTTATTGTTGATTTTTTGTTCTTGGTTTTGGTGGAACCAGGGATTGAACTCAGGCCCTTGCACTTGTCAGGGAAGCGCTTATTCTACTGAGCCATCTCCCCGGCCCCTCTAATAGCTTTTTCATTTTCATATCCTCATTTATTTATTTATTTTGTCTGGTACTTGGGATCGAACTCAGGACCTTGCACTTGCAAGGCAGGTGCTTATGCCACTCAACTATATTCTCAGCCCTCATATTTCTTTTGATTTTTAATGTAGAAAGTGTTCTTAATTTGTTTTTCACTGATACTAGGAGTGTTTTTCAGGAGACTTAGGAAAAACTCCATCTAGTGTTCTTCAACTACTGTTTGTTTGTTTGTTTGTTTGTTTTGAGAGAGCATCTCGGTATATACTCAAGCTGGCCGTGAATTCTCTATGTAGCTTGGGCTGGCCTTGCACTCAGAGTGATCCTCCTGCCTCAGCCTCCTGAGTGCTGGGATTATAGGCGTATGCCACTTCGCCTGGTTTCTTATACTTTAGATGTGTAAGTAATCTCTTTATGCCTACTACCACTGGCTAACAAGATGCCTGTAAAAGAAACTTGGATAGGTATGGGGTGATAATATTTTTACCATTTATTATCAATTCATTTTTATAGCTATTTCAATTTTAGAAAGGTGATACAGATTTCCCACTTATGGTGCATTTAAAGTTTCTTTTAAAATAAAAATACTCAAGTTTTAAAGGGCTTAAAGAAAAACATTAATAGTATAGGAGATCTTCAGGCATATCAAAAATCACAAATATAGGGGCTGGTGAGATGGCTCAGTGGTCTAAAGCACCTACTTAGAACAAGCTTAGCAAAGCACAGGGATCGCGGTTCATAAATATATTTTTTTTAAATCACAAATATATTTCTTACATGTCTGCATGTGAGAAACTGTCTCACACCATTTCATGATGGAATAACAAGAGTTCATTTTTGTTAACACCAGATCCACTTTCTTCTTTTTTTTTTTTTTGCGGAACTGGGGATTGAACTCAGGCGCTTGTGTTTGCCAGGGAAGCACTTATTCCACTGAGCTATCTTCCCAGCCCCAGATTCACTTTCTTTTCCAGTTTTACTAATTACTCCCAGAGAGTCTGAGCTGCATATTACATTACTGCTAAGTCTCTGTCTCTCTCTCTCTCTCCCCATCTCTCTCTCTTCGCCTGCCCCCACAGCAGTCCTGCCCCAGACAGGTCTGTTCAGTGGCGTGCCCTGCAAGAGCCTGGGGTTTAACTCCATAGTGTAGTCATCTCGGAGCAAAAACTTGCCATTTCTGGAGCATCTCAAGTTACTTTTCCCATTTTGATTTTAGTAACATTCTCTTTAAGGTACTGATCTTCTAGCTCTTACTCCCTGTGCTCTAAGGTACGGTGTGAGCCCACCTACCCGAGACGAGACGCCTCCCTTGTGACTGCTGGGGCTCCTGCCACTCCTCCAGGCACTACAACCTTGAGCTCGCTCTCCCAGCACATCTCATCTAGGACTTATTAACATTGTTTCAGCAGTTGCCCATCCCTCCCCACCAAGGTCAGAGCCCCTGGCCTGTTGTTTTTCATGTGCTAAACAGGACTGAACTACACCCCACAAAAGCCTCATAAAACAATTCTAGTCCTGTGGCCTTTGCTGGCCTTTACTGTCACCCAGACTTTGTTTTCCCAATTCTTGCTGGGGGTTCAGGTTTTTTTTTTTTTCTTTTTTCTTTTTTGTGTATGTGTAGTTGGTACAGAGTCACACTACCCAGCTCAGACTCGTAGTGATCCAACTGTTTTCAGCTTCCCCAGCGCTGGGATTACAGGCACGCACCACCACACCAAGAGGTGTGATTTGCCAGGGATCGAACCCGAGTCCCTGCGCTTGCCTAAGCCTAGTCCTCTGAGCTATCTCACTGGCCCTCATCTCAAGTTTCTAAGTCAGTCTTCCTTACATTACTCATCTTCCTTTCCCCCGTTCCCACCTCTCTCCATGTCAATGCACACAAACTCTTTAACGTCTTTTGCCTAGTATAGTTTCATCCCATTTATTTCCAAACCACTACAAATGAAAGCACATAATAGCCTTATAAAGGGCTGAGTTCAGTAGTAGAGCACATGTCTGGCTTGCTCCATGCCCTTGAGTATGATCCCAAGCCCACCAAGAAAAAGGGGGCAAATGGCTTATAGTAATGGGGTGTGTGTGTGTGTGTGTGTGTGTGTGTGTGTGTTATATGTACAGTTAAAGTAGAAGAAGGGATAAAAACAGAAAATAAAGGTCAGCTCTATTTGGGGGAGAACAGCATGAGAAAACCAGCCGTTCTTGTTGGCATGTTAAACATACCTCACCCTGCAAGCCAAATCTGTATTATTCTCCTATAGTTTAAAGAAAGAGGAGCCTGGATGCTTAGTAAGGATTTAGATAACTACTTCCTTAAGAAGAGATTTTTTTTAAAAATTGTGTTTTCATTATGACTCCATCTCCATTTATTGATCAAAGGATTTCTTGCCTCAGTTCATTCTATAATCTGTTGCTCAGATTAAGAAAACGTGAAAACTATTGTTTGGTAGCGTGAATATAGACTTTAAAGTGATACCTTGGAAGCTGGATGATTCAAATACTATAACACAATTAAATCAACTAATTGATCATGCAGAATGTGTTTTACACATTATTCTTTTTATGGACTGAGCAAGCAACAAAAAGAATCTGATTAAATGTTTTGTAGATGAGCTCTGCTATAGAAGCAGGAACTTTCTTACATAGAAACAGCCAACAGAAAGCTCCATCATGCTTTGTTTCTCCTGTTTTTTATGTACTTGGTACAGGGTCTCCCTGCGCAGCTGGGACTAGAGTGATTCTCCTGTTTCAGCCTCAAGCACTGGGGTTACAGGCATGTGCCACCATGTCCCAGACTGGCACACCACGATCATGGGGATTGGACCCAGGCAAGTGCTTAGACCACGGAGCTATCTCCACGGCCCCTCATGTTCATTCTTACTTAGGGAGCAGCACTCATATAAAAGTATAATAAATTCTCAGCTGCACGGAACTGAAAAATACCCTTTATGTCAGTGTTTCCTTTCTTGTACGACCACTGCCTATAGCTGTGCCTGCAAACTGTGGAAGAAGGACAGCCCTCTCTGTTCATGGTTTCTCTTGGACCCTTGTGTCAGCCTGATGGCCATTTACTCCTCATTAATTCTTCCTCCTGAGAGCTACCAGAGAAGAGAAAGGAGGTGAACTTCAGGGCAGTCCAGCAGCTTAGTGACAAAACCCGTTCAATCTCAGTACAGTGCACTGGACAGATCTTTCGTGCCATTTAAGAGTTTGCTCCATCCAACTGATTGAACACCCTTTTTTTTTTTGGCAGAACCGGGGGTTGAACTCAGATCTTTGCACTTGCCAGGGGAGCGCTTATTCTACTGAGCCATCTCCCCAGCCCCTGAACACCCTTTTCAATTTAAGGGGGAACATTCTGGTGACTGACATTTTGTTTTGACATTTTGGTTATTAACAGTTATTTAATTAACAGTATTTGCTCTGTCCCTGAAAGTCCTTATGGAAAGTTAAACTCAGTGCCAGTGTCTGGAAACCAAAGGAAAGGGAAAAAAAATCAGCACCAATTACAGGAGAGAATCACAACTGTCCAGTTTACACTGCTTATTCCATCTGTGGTTTGTAATTGCCTGGAAAATATACCCCTTGCATAGACCTGGAAACTGAGGCCTGGGTATACTCTGATGAGTCTCTCAACTTAAATGGAGGCTAACAGCCCTGAGCACAAGCCCCTCACCAAGAAGGGCTGGAGGCTGCAGGTACTAGTCTAGTCTAGTTGGCCACTTGCACTACGCATACTTGTAAGCTGACTTCATAGCCTTAAAAAAAAAGGAAGCCTTCTGCAGGGACTTCGTTGATAACTCGTGAGAAACAAAATGCTTTTGTGGCTTAATAACTTTATTTCAATGTCGAGTTTTTCTTTCTTATAAAAGTCAGGCACACAAGCTTAAACATCGCGTAGTTTCTCTTCTGTGAAAAACTGAAATATGTTAGGACGAAAATAAAAAATATAGTGAATAGGGAGAACGCATTTGCAAATGGAGACATTGAGAGGAAGGGAAGAGGATGAAAAACAGAGGAGGGGAAGAGGACAACAACGTAGAGGTACCCATTTCCCACCAGGACTGTGGCCATTATGTACATACTGGAAATATGTACTAATAAAAACTGAAAAGGGAAAGTAGCAGCAATTAACACTTAAAAACCCCTCGCGGCCGGGTTTCAGGCCGGCCGCACAACCTCGGTGAGGGCTCGGTGACAGCACAGGCCAGGGCGATGTAATCAGCAACTGGGCTGTCTGCGGCGCCGCCGTGGGAACCGGAGCCCAGGCGTCGGCCACCCAGGCGCAGAGC